GCGCCGTCTCCATTCATTTCATCGGATGGTCACATGACCGTGAAGATCTACCAAAAGTATGTATATCCCTACACACCACGTTTTTCTGGCCTGCCCAGCCTTTCACAGGAACAGCCGCTGCATCCAACCGATCCTACATGAAGTGTACACTTCCATCCTACAGCTCAGTCCTACAGTTCAGGTAGAAATCACGCCGCCCGAATCTAAACTTACAATCTCTACTCGCACATTGATTGATTGGAGAAGGGGTCCTCGATTCCTCTGAAAGACTTTCTTTCATTTCTTTGAAATTATAGCAAGGTACCCTCCTCTCCTCTCCCCTACCCTTCCCTCGGGGTACCCAGGGCCTGCCTGCCTGATCCACTGCAACCATCTAATCTACTACAGTGCACTGCGGACAAGATCCGAAGACGTGGATCAACGCCATCTTTCCCAGATCGAAATTAATAAATAAATAGCCTGAAGTACAAAGTCCACTCACTACTGTCCACACAACCACCTCTTCACCCCCTCGAGCCACTCAGCGATTCGACATACCTGTTGTACCGAGCCGTTTTCATTCGCCAGATCATACTATACTAGCAAGGGAAGAACCCTTGATTGAACTTGTCACAAGATCTCGTCCCCATTCTGAAACAGCTGTCGCCCAAAATGGTTGCTTCTTTAGAATCTTCCCGTCCTATTTTGGCACCAAGTGTACGTTTATTTACTTACCTCATTCCTCCATCCCCTTTTTCCATCCTCCTCCAGCCCATCAACCCATCTAGATTTCGGCATATACCACGTCCAAAAACCCTCATCAATCTTTGCTGACAAAAATGTCGACGGCAAAGATCTCTTCCAAAAACAATCGCTTCAGCACCTGTAGCCAAGCCATGTCTGTCGAAACCGTCGATGCCGCACGAGAAGAAATTGCCGCCATTGGAGAAGGCATCGACAAGTTACATAACAAACAATTGGAGAGTCAACGCTGTGATTTGACGACTGAGAAGAGAGATAATATGGGCAAGTTGGCACTGGGGGCCAAGTTGGAGAGAGCATTGAGTCGAAGAATGGGTAGTCAAGACGCCGTCATGAGAAAGAAGTCGCCATCACAATCATCGGTCGGATCACCTACATCAACCCTGAACGAGAAGGCTCATCTCTATGAGAGCGAAAAGGAGAATGCTGCATGATGGGCGTTGAACGGGAGATGGATGATATGGCTGCTATGATAGGGGCGGGGCGATTATTGTGTAATGGATTTTCACTCGGATAATTATGGGCATCAATTGGCGGCGTTCGTTATGTTTTCTCTCAGAAAACGTGTGCGTCACCTCAACTCAAGCTTAACTGTTTGTTATACTATTTCCTTTGATGGGGGTGAGGGGGGGAGGAGCTGGGGGGTCGACAATTGTTTTCAAGGCTTTTATACCACACCAAGCACGCATAGCGAGATGATATTTATGCTACTTGCTCGTTATCTGACGCAAGTTTAAATTATACCCTCAATACTTCTTACTTTTTTTATACAAATAACAGACTTTCCGACTCGCACGTCTCAAATCAATTGCACCTCAGTATCCGAATCAGCAATCGAATGGGTCTACCGGCCAACTGTGGGACAATTTTTGGCTCTAAATTCATAGATAGCACTATTCGACGACTCATAACCTTATGTGATAGCTACAGTAGTGAATTTTGAAGGAGCCTCAAGATTTTTATGAGTAGTGATTGATAAAGATGTCAGTCCATAAGCAAATCTTCCTTCTTACCGAATCTCTTTGCACCCCTTTCTTCAAAAAAGCAACAGCAATAGCAATCGATTAGCCGCATCATCAAATTCATCGTCAAGCACGTGACTTTGAGCTTAATTGATCAATCTGCTCGACGCGACCGCGACTCCGACTCCAACAAGTACAACAACTTACTTCAATTGACCTGCAGGAAAATCGTTCCTTCCCAAAGTAAACACAACCACCACCAAAACTAAGAAATGGCTATGTAAGCCCTCCCCCTTCCAATACCAAACGAACTAAGATGCTTTGTTCGCTATCAGTAAAAATGTCTCAAGTGGTTAAAGACAGAGACAAGTTTTCTAAGAAGAACCTGGTTGCTAATATCATTCATTACACTAGGGAGAGTTTTGATAATATCTACCTGGATCTTTCGAAAGAGTCAGGCCGATGCAGATTTGCCGAAACTGGGTTCGGATGGAAGCCATCGGGCGGCGGTGATACATTTACACTAGAGAACAGCAATATCGCAGGCGCACAGTGGAGTAAGGCATCAAAAGGGTATGAGGTGAAGCTCTTGTTGCGCAATTCTGATATCTGTCAACTCGATGGTTTCTTGCAAGATGTCAGTATACAATGAACTCTTGGACTGGCGCACTCTTTCTTACACAATATAGGACTTTGAGCGTTTGAGTAAAGTTTTCAAGAACTGGTATAGCACGAATTTGGAACACAAGGAACACGCTCTAAGAGGATGGAATTGGGGAAAGGGTGAATTTGGAAAGTCAGAATTGGTATTCAACGTACAAAACCGACCTGCCTTCGAGATTCCATATTCCGAGATCTCAAATACGAACTTGGCCGGTAAAAATGAAGTTGCGGTCGAATTTTCCCTACCTGCCAATGGAGATAATACAGGCACAAATGGAGCTTTAGGTGGTGCGCGCAGTAAGGGAAAGAAGGCTGGCGCTGGAAAGGATCAGCTTGTGGAGATGAGATTTTACATTCCTGGTGTTACGACAAAGAAGGGAGCTCGTGAAGGAGATGAGGATGCTGGAAGTGACGCTGATGAGGAGGCGCACAATGCTTCCAATATTTTCTACGACACTCTGATGGAGAAGGCTGAAATTGGCGATGTTGCTGGAGATACCGTTGCCACCTTCCTTGATGTGCTACATCTCACTCCAAGGCATGTCACATTTTCAATAATTCTGTGCAGGGCTAACTGTTCACAGAGGACGTTTCGATATCGATATGTACGAAAACTCTTTCCGATTACGTGGTAAAACATATGATTACAAGATTCAATACGAGCATGTCAAGAAATTCATGGTTCTACCAAAGCCCGATGAATTACATTTTATGATCTGTATCGGTTTAGATCCACCATTGCGACAAGGTCAAACCAGATACCCCTTCTTGGTTATGCAATTCAAGAAGGATGAAGAAGTTACCATCGACTTGAATATGACGGAAGAAGTGATGCAAGATAAGTATGGAGGAAGATTAAGCGCACATTACGAACAGCCGTTACATGAAGTCGTTACACAAGTATTCCGTGGTCTTGCTGGAAAGAAGGTTAATCAACCAGCTAAAGATTTCTTGAGGTATGCTACTATTCCGGAATTTTGCCGCATTATTCTTACTAACATTATTAGCCACCACCAACAATATGGTATCAAGTGTTCTATCAAGGCCAGTGAAGGTTTCCTCTACTGCCTAGAGAAAGCTTTCATGTTCGTTCCAAAACCCGCTACATACATTACTTATGAGCAAATCGGAACCATAACTTTCTCCCGTGTTGGCGGTGCTACATCCGCCTCCCGTACTTTCGATATTGCCATTCAAATGAAGGGCGGAGCTTCTGAAACACAATTCAGCAATATTAATCGCGAAGAACAGAAACCCCTCGAGGATTTCTTCAAGATCAAGGGCCTTCGTGTCAAGAATGAAATGGACGATGATAATTCCGCTCTTCTAGCCGCCGCTCTCCGAGATCCTGATATGCAATCTTCAGATGAAGAAGTCGTGGCCGCCAGAGCTGATAGAGGAAGCGCTGATGAAGACGATGAGAGCGTGGATGAAGATTTCAAGACAGATAGCGAGAGTGATGTAGCTGAAGAATACGATTCGGCTCACGAGAGTTCAGGGAGTGATAGTGACGAGGAAGGAGGTAGTGATGCCGAGGAGAGACCAGCCAAGAAAGCCAAGACTGGCTAAGTCTACTCTCGTGAAAATTATTTGGTTATTGGAGAAGACGAACTACAAATTTTTATATTTCTGCATGGCGTTTATACGGCGGGGAGTGAAAAGATATGATACTAGGTTAGGGGAAAAAGTGCATATTATGAAACCCAGGTAGGGGAACATGCAAGTAGTAGGAAAACTGGTGGGAGTGATATGATATGACGAGAGGAAAATTCCATATTTATTTAATGTGAGCAAGGCGAAATATTGACTTGTCGTTGTCTGTCGTCTAATTTTTTCCAGACATTCGGCTGAGAAGATTTGAGTGTTGAATTTCATCGGTCCACTCACCACCATACTGGTCTTGATCAAGTGGTGGGATGCTTTCCTGATTTATATATTGTCAGTTTGTTTATTGTAGTGCTGTGGGACGTTTTTGAGATTGAAGGAGGTGGGACTTGACGGGGGTGGAGGAGGGGGTTAAAAGGGTTATAGAAGAGAAGGGGAGAGGTTTATTGGATTAGGGGATTTTATTGGCTGGGCGGTTGGGTTTGAGGTTTGAGGAGTGGGGATGGGGATGGGGATGGGGATGGGGATGGAAGGGGAAAGAGGGGGGGAGGGGGGAGAAAGAAGGGGGATTGAGGAAGGATCCAGGTTATATGGTTGTTGGGGGGAGGAGAGGGGGTTAAAAGTATTTACTTGAAAGGAATTCTGGAAAGATTGTATTGATTATGCAATCTATATTTTTGATATTAACAATTCTTTAAAAGAATGAATAGATGATATATATCAAAATAGTTTGAAAACGAAAATGTCACGCAGTAGCCACGTTATGGTCTATATTAGCTAGCTCTTGACTAATCAGTAGTTTAGTGATCTTCAACGATTATCTACCGATTCTCCCCATTTAGATTTCACTCATTCTTATATTTCGTAGCTATCGTATGATAGAAAACGAGATCAAAAAATTGATTGGAATCCGAGATGCGAAAATAAAAATATATAAATATAAAAAACGGTCTTTTTAAAACAGCGATCGATGGTTGCAAGGTTACATATTCTTCTGTGGGTGTGAGTTGAACAAAACATACATTGATGGCACCAATGGTTTAATGGTAAAATATGCGCTTCCCATTTCTCAAAGATCTGTTAGACCTTTGAAATGAGAGTGCGCATGCTACGGGTTCGATTCCCGTTTGGTGCATGGAACATAGGGCGGTTTGAATCTTTTGGGTTTTTTTTGCTTTTGCTTTTTTTTTTTTGGTACTGAATGGATTGGAATTGAAGGGAGTTCTTTTTGTTGTTTGTTTGTGGTTTGTTGTTTGTTTTTGTGGGGTAAGTGAGTGTGATTGATTGGTGGGTGAATATCAAACATCCCTCTCTCTCTCTCTCTCCCCTCTCTATCCCACCACAGCCATATGCATCAACATATGATTCAGCATTCGGCATTCATATCACCCCCTATACCACACCACACTCCCCAGCCAACGAACCCAAGAAAGACCAAGTTACTACACACACAACATCAGTATGTCATTACCCATACATATCCAGCATATCCAGCATATCCATCCAGCTAAGCTAGATAACATACCATACCATACCATACCATACAAGCACCACCACACCACACCGCACCGCACCGCACTACACCACCGAATCCACACCTCCCACCCCCCCCCCCCAAAAAAAAAGGAGCAAGCCTAACCAGCCTAGCCAGCCCAGCCAGCCCAGCCAGACCAGCCTACCTCATACGCTCCCCTCCTCACATATTATCTCATCTCATCTCATCTCATCTCATCTCATCTTATCTAATTATCGACTACATACATACATACATACATGATAAACGTGGTAAGAGCACCTCACCTGGTGGTGGAGAGGGGATTTCGTTTCGTTTCGTTTCGCTTCGTCGTAGGTAAATTCGGTCGCTTAGAAGTCCTGGTGATCTAGGCGAGTAGAAAGAATATCTTGCTTGGTATATATACACACACAGACTCCTAGCACTTGTGAAGCTTTGATCAATATCATAGTTCGTGAATCTAAATGTTGGAGCTGATGGAGGCCTTAATATACTTCTACGGCATTGAGTGGTATTGATTCAAGTACAATACAATCACCAATCACAGAATTGACGTTAGTGAGATGAGATTTCATGGCATTTCATTTTATTTTCCCATCTAACTAAAAGTGTACGATGGTTAGACTAAAAAAGCTTGTATGCCCCAAAAGAAACAATGGAAAACTAATGAACTTTGTGTACAGTAAAAGGTCCCTATGTGCAATCAGTGGAATCATAGGCAGGGGGTAAGGCTTGAGAAGAAGCTCCTGCATAAAGAAATCAGCAATGTTCTCGAACGTTTGCTTTGAGGTCCTTGAATCGAGCTTTAGGTCTGAAACATCTTGAATACTTTGTGTTATGCATTGAAAGTAACAAGGGAATTATCGTGTCGAGTCGAAATGTCGTAAAGTTTTCGAAAGAGTATTCATATTGCATGTGTATTTCTGTGATCAAAATCTACTTTTCTTAGTGAATCTTTTCATACTCGAGAGAAATTTATATCTTACCAGATAGGACCCTAATTCAAATGGACGTGGGCCATAATTAGCATCTCAAATAGCCTTTGTGCGAGAGAACAAACTGCTGTAGACTGCATCCACAACAGGAGTAGCGCTAATCATTCGTCCACCAAAATATCTGCCATTTAGACCCTTGATGGCATTCTCTCCACCTTGTACTCGGTCGAATTTGAGATAAATATCTCCTTGGGAGTTTGGATCTAAAGCAATGTGAACAACGTGGCCATATTTTTCTTCCGCTTCAGCGCGGACGTCATCCTCGAGTTCTTTCTCCCAGTTCTCACCGTCCTCTCTGTAAATTTTGTTAGCAATGGACTGACACGGGAGAGTTTATTACTCACTCTGTAGGATCGAACATGTTCTTCAGCACAACGCATCGGCTAGCCATGTTGACATTGACTGGTAAAGTTTTCGTCTCTGTTTTAGGTTTTAATACTTCTCTTCTCTCGTGGTGACTGTTCGTGGCAGTCGTGGTATCGTCTGTTCTGGCGAGTTTTCTCATCAATGCATCTCGACTATAATTGTTGAAGTTTACGCCGCCAACGTCAGTGTCGTCCAAAGCACTAGCGCCACCCGCACCTTTATCATTATCTCGCCCACCAGCACGATCGAAATTACTACCGCCAGCAGCGGTAGGACCACGTCCACCAGCGCCGGAAAATGCAGAGCCCTGGAATTGTTGTTGGTGGCTTTGGCCATGGAATCTTTGCAGAAGACTGGCGGTAGATTCAGGAGTAAACTTATCGTTTCCAAGACCAACACGGATTGGTCTACCAGCAAGATCGAATCCATTCATCTTCTCCAATGCTTCTTTAGCTTGATTTGGATCACGGAATCTATTGTGTTTATTAGCATAACATGACTGCATGATCATCCATAGAAGAAACTTACTGAACGAATCCATAACCTCGGCTGCGTCCTTGCTCTTCTTTTTGCAATTGGACAAATTCGAGCTCACCAAATGGCTCAAACACGTTCTGTAAATCGCTTTCAGTGATGCTGAAATGTATATTACCCACATATAATCGATGGAAAGGAATTTGATTAGGGTTACTGGAGGTGGCCTCTGGATTGCGAACTTGTCGATTCTTCTCAGCCTCGGTGAGTTGTGCAATAATTGGGATTCCTAGGAGTCTCTGTCCAGTGAGTTGTATAGCGGCAGGGACTGATTCTTCGTTTTTGAACTCAACGTAGCCAACACTTGGTAGAGTTAGTGAATGAGTTGTATCAGGAATTGCAAGTTGGAAAACATACCCTTTAGATCTACCACTAACTCTGTCCTTCACAATTTGAGCCTCCTTGACGGGCCCAACCTTTTCAAAGAACGCTATGAGCTCTTTCGTTCTGAGACGAGCTGCTAATTGCTGTACAAAAACGGTTCGCCTATCTCGTTCATCTTCGGTCAAGGGAGGTGTGCCTTCTCGTTTGGGACTTCTCGGTCGGCGTTCTTCTCGGGGTTTGTCTGACTCGTCGCGATCGCGGCGGTCACCTCGGGGACGGTAATATCTATCAGGACTTCTGGTTCGTGAGCGTTGACGGCCACCACCCCTACCTCCCCTGTAATAATCTCCGTCCCTGCGACCATTCTCTTCGGGGGTGTCTCTGCGGCGACGTGGGTGTCGACGATCATCTCGACTTCTACTTCTGCGCCTACCCTTTGCGCTTCCATTTTCACTTATTGGGGTTGCGGTGCCATCTTTCTCATTCCTGTCTCTGCTGCGAGCCCGACGCTTTCGATCTCGGTCACGATCTCTGCTATCATCGCGAATTCTATCGCGGTCCCGTCTTTCACTACGCTCGCCCTTGTGGCGGTCATCGGATTCTTTATTCTTAGTAGATCCGTTTTGCTCGACAGGAGTAGCAGCTGCAGTTGAGTCCAAGAGGGCTTCGACATCCAAGGCGGACATGGTGTAGTAGGTTGCTGTTACTCGCCTGACAAAGCAAAGGGTTCGTTCAAAAGACTTGTACCTGTCACTTTATCACGAAAGACAAAGTGCGATGGCTACAGAGATTGGTGCTTCAAGATAATGTTTGATGTTAATAAACAACCAAGTAAGAATTTGAGATGGGAATTGCTTGGAGAGGAATAAAGTTAGAAAGTGGCTGATGGATGTGGGTGTGAGTGGGAAAATAGAAAATATGGAATCAAAGTTTATTCAAGTGTTGGTGTCGCTTTTTTAGTCTGAGTCAGGTCACGTCACGACTCACGTGTACGAAAATGGATTTAGCCGGTTTTCTCTGGCTGAGTTGGACGACGACGTGTTTGACGTGAATTATTGATGTGCTCGTAAAAGCAAAGCATTATACAACTGGGTCTTCATTGCTTCAAAGTAAAATCGTATATTAGGTATGAAACTGCAATTCTTCTAAGAGAGGCCGGCCTGCTTCCTATCGCCAACTAAGTCCATCATGAACGCCGAGACCAGAGAGTCTTTGGTATTATTGTTTCATCGTCAAATCATTTCAAACACAACATTATTGGCTATTATTATTTCCTTGGTCGGCTGCATAGTTACATGGTCTTTGGCTCAGGTGCGAGTGGAGTTCCGAAGATATCATCCCAGAATCGACTAGTAACCCCAAATCCGTTTTCGTAGTCCATGAAGTGGTGTTGAAGGTGATACTTCTTCAATTGTCTCCAGTAGGAGGGTAAGGTGCGATGATGAAGGAAGTAATGAGTCAAGTCATAACAGACGTATCCGAAGATTCCACCGCAAAATACTGCCGTAGCCACAGACCAGTCCCAGTAGAACACAGCATGCGCAAGTTTCCAGAAAGGTGTCGCTAAAACGATGAAGAGAGTGGGAGGCATAACCAATCGGTACCTATCCATTGGTAAATAGTGGTGGATGCCGTGGAGTAAGAAATGGAGTGTGAGTGCTGCTCGATTGTCTGGGAGCCATCTACAAACTTATGTTAGCTTCATGTTTCATTGATGGGTTTGAGGAAGACCATGCATACTTATCAAGATGGAAGAGGAATCGATGTAAAAGGTATTCGACCAGAGTCCAGAGGAAAAGACCGAAAAGCCAGTATGCCGCTTCTCCTGCGATGCTATCGAATCCTTCGCTCGCAAGGAATGTACCATAGGTAATCGGTGGAAGCCATACCATGGGCACAACCCACCACGCTGTCTTTGATAAAGGCTCAAGGAAATTTCCGAATAGCGGTGCAGATTCTCCTCCCTTGTAATGACGTGGTCGATGAACCTGCTCCAAGTAAAACTGTTTGCTAAATCCGCCACGCCAAATTTGCATCAACAATGGTTTGTTCAGGTCGAGAAACTTGTGCGTCTTGTAATCATCCGCAAGATCGGTCTCCTTACTCAAGTCTTCTTCCGTAGACATGCCAGTACTGGCATAAACTGGGAGAGGGTCTGCAGATCCGTTCTCTTTCAATCCCTTCAAGCCTTGTTGTGTTGGTGGGAGTGGAACGGGTTTTGAGCTCTTGGTAGCTGTATCGATCACCTTATTTGTAGCGACAAATCCTATCAGGGAATCCTCGAGAACGTCATACGCTGCTTCGGAATGGGTATGCGAGAGCTGGTCCTTCAATATTTGCGTTACGTCCCGGCCGGCGTACTCCAACACCAGTTCACCCCCGCCCGGATGGCTGTCAACGAAA